AGTATTAGACCTTTAGAATATTTGAACAGTCTATCAAAATTTTTTGATGTAAAAATATCAAACAATTTACCCATATCTTTTAAAAAAATTATTGTTGTTTTTGAAGAAAACGGTAATTTTTTTAAGCTAAATAAGTTTACATGCCGGTTGCAACAGTTGCACTGAAAGTGTGAGTAGCTAAGTAAACCCTTATCTTTTGAAATGCATTAGGATATATATGCAAGTGTGTTAATTATGGAGCTAAACGTAAATTACAATTATTATCTAGGTTATAAATGACTTAAGGTATTTTTTTTTTATAATTTTCATTTATTTTAAATTTATGTATGAAAATATTTCATTTTGTATATTTTATGGTTCTTTTCATCATTTTAAGAAACTCCGATTTCGTAAATATCCGTAAGTGTTAAATAATTTTAATTTTTTTTTGTTGCACTTACTTCTATTTTTGAATCAGCATTTGTTTTGAAAAATATTTATGCTGTTTTAGAATAATAGAAAAACATTTTATCAAACTCAACGAATAAAAATGATTTTGTAACATTTTTTCACTTATCTAAAAATAATTTATTTATATTGACATTTAATAAAAAAATTATCTAAACCAATGCTCATCTTTGTGAATTATAATCAATAGTTTAAAATATGTATTAATTTTATTTCAAAATTGTTTGTAATTGAATTAATAAAATATTTTTTCATCTTCGTATCATCTTATTATATAATAGAACAAGGGAAAAAACGCTTTTCTGGGAAAATTACTTAGCGTGCTCGGATTTTCAAAATTTTTTTTTTCAACGAAAATACTCGGTCACCAGACTCCGGGAAAATTATTGGCGAAGGTTGGAAAATTTTTGCCGCTCGCCCGCGAGCGTTTTAAAATTTCCACCATTTTTGAGAAAAACGCTCCCTGACGCCAGCGTTTTACGACTTAAGGTTTGAAATTTTCACCAGACCCGCCTAATGACATTCCTGAGATATGATAAAAAAATCAATTCAATCCGTTCAATTTTCACCGTTTTACGAGCTTTTTTTTTTCATGCGCTCGAGACGCCAGAGCGTGGCGCCCGAAATTCTTGCGACACTTTACGACATGAAAACGATTTTTTTTTACGATTCGCAATCATACCACGGCGTTCTGTACGTGTCGAGGAAGCGCCAAAAATCGGAAAATCCGAGATCCGACAAAAACTCTGATTTTACGAGCTTTTTTTTTTTTTAAGTCCACGCGCAGAGTTTTAATATGCGCAGTGATTCATTTCTGCTCATACGTTTATGAGCATTTATTATTATTATTTATTATAAACTTATAATTATATGGTGCAATATGTTTTATTATTAGGACATATTTTACATTTGCACTATATTTTATCAAGGAATATTATATGTTATATATAAATTTCAAGGCGTTTTATTATGTAAGTTTGTACTTTCATTATCAGAACAGTACGTTATTAATAGTCTTTCTTTTCTCATATAAGATTTATGAGACTATGAGTTTGAATTGGGATTCATCTATGATAACTATGCTGTTCAACGTTAAATCGCAATTACCAATATTTTTACCAAAATTAAATTTTTTCAATGTGCCATGTATAATAACATGCTAAATTTTTTTTAAGTATTCTATAATATAAAGGCAATTATTATAATTAGATTATTAATAATTTTTGTGTATAACATAGGTGTATTTGAGAGAGATGTAGGCCCCCCTTGATCCAGCGCTATCAATATTTTTTAGGCAACTTCTAATATATAAGGTCCTAATGTCCTTTTTTTCATCATTATTTTAATTTTTAGCAAAATGTTTAACAAAGTAATAAATATTAAATACCCTCCTAAAATAATTTTTTATTAGGCTTAAAGGGAATACGTCATTAACAAACGTCAACCTTATACCCAATACATTTTACTATATTCTTTTTGAATTTTTCTGATTTTAGTAATAACATTTTTATATATACTTTATTGCACTGATTCTAATGTAATATTTTTTCTGAAAAACACCTATCGTGCCCGGCGTAGCCGGGTACCCATACCGGAATCAGTGGACTACTTATGATGACGGCCCGAAGAGGATTACGCGCCGAAGGGCCGTAAGCCTCGAAGGGCTCCGGGTCTGGGGCGGAGTGCAGCTAGTTAGCATACATTATTATTAAGATATAACACTTATAAGTAAAACATATTATGATATTTTTAAAAAATCTATAATTTTTAGTTATTCTAATTTTATTTTTATTGTGATGGTTAGAAATTAAATTTAGAATGAATTTTATGTTTCATTATTTGATTATATAATTAGAAACCATTAATAAACATATAAAATGATTATGTTTTCAGATTATTCAAGAACCAATTGCGTAAATGAAAAGAATTATATGTTTATATTCTTAAAAATAACTATTAAGAAATAAATTTTAAAAAATTATGAAAGTAAGGTAAGTGTTCATCAAATGAACAAATTTGTTTATTAAATATGCATGATAAAATTATTTTTAATATAAAATTGAACCAATGATTATACATGTTATAGATAACTCACTACAATAATAAACTTGATGCGCAATATTTTGATGTCTTTAGAGAGTGATAAAAGAATTGAAATCAATTACAATTAGGCTTTGTCAATTTTATACATTTTTTTAAATCCATATCGAAAATAAAATAAATGTTTTATTTTCATTATTAATCTTAAAAACAGTTATGTTAAAGGAAATAATACAATAGATCATACTAAAATTTTCAATTTTCACTAACCAGTAAGATGATTTTCATATTAATGTATCACAAGAACTATACTAGATTTAAACACTAACGCAAGGTAGAAGAATATATTTGACATAATCAAATATATTCTTCTAGCCAAACAATCTACAAGCACTTTACCTTTTAGTAAAAAAAGAAGACAACTAGAGCGATTTTTAGAATTATTTCATACTGATATTTTTTGATCGATTATACAAGTATTTTGGCAAGCTGAGTAATACTTTGTAAAATTTCTTGATAATTGTAGACATTTTGTTTTTGTGTATTTATTAAAAACAAAACTTTACTTTATATATATATTTAAAAAGTTTGAAGTATTAGTATTAGCACAATTTGGACACAGAATATACAAATTGAGATGTGTGGCAAATATATTTCAAATGAAATGGCTAAGCTTTGTGAAAACAATAAAATCCAAGTTTAGTTTACTCCCCATATACAATTGAACTTAATGGATATGCGGAACGGATAAACAGCGCATAACAGCGTATTACTTTTTCATTGAATATTTTATTACAGTTAAAAAAAACGTTAAAATTATAATTTTTAATATAAAAATCTAATAAAAATAAAAATACATACATTTTTAATTTTTGTTCGAAATTTTAATATAGCCATTCTGAAAATAGATATTTGTTGTAAGAAAAAGGCTAAACTCTCAACTTAGAAAAAAATTCGATGGATATAATAATTTAAAACAGGGTCATTCCATGTGAAATCACCTAATGTGTGTGCTGCTATAGTTCAGAAATTTTTGAAATTTATATCATAGACTTCTTAAAGGTCATTGACAACAAAAATAATATTTTTTTTTTCAGATAGTGCATTTTTTATAATTAAAAACATGAAAAAACACCCTATGTTCTAGAGCCTATAACTTCACACCCAAATAAGCTATTACTGTGGAACTAGCACTGTTTTACTTATATTAATTAGTACTTCAATTTTATTCTTAAGTTTATGAATTTTGAATTTTTTTTTAACATCAAAATTTTTATTTTTATTTTTTTAATTTTTCAGTATTTTAATAGCAAAATTTGAAGATCATAAAATATTTTAATAAAATTTTTTTTTTCTTTTCAGAAACTTTTAGTTATGTTCTTTTAACCCATATCATATTTGAATCGATTTATAATTTTTTTTGTATCGTTTTACGGTCTTGAACACGCGTGGTTTGCTGAAAATATACAACTTTATTATCTCATTACATAATAGTGATTGAACGAATTAATTAAAACAAGAGTTATACATTAATAGGTTAGTTTTTAAAAACAAAAAATTATTAGATCTAAAAATATGGAATTGGTACTACATTTTCAATCTGAAGATGAAAAAAATATTTGTTCGTATGATTTATTTGAAAAATTCTTAATTTGTCAAAACTTTGTCGAAGAATCAACAATATCTATTGATTTAATGAACTTTATAAAAAAAAGTAATGGAGCTTTTCCGAACTTAACCATTGCTCCTAGGATTTTGTTATGAGTCCCAATAACTTAATCTACTACAGAACGCAGAATAAATACAAAAAATAAAAATTGAATGTTGAATGTTGAAAATTACGTAGTTTGTGGATTTTCCATAATACGCAAATTATAAATTTTGTAAATTCTATAAGTAGCGTTAAAATTATTTCTCTGTCATCAAATTTTCACCAGACGTTTTAATTGCCTAAATATAAGTACTATGTAAATTTGAAAAAAATTCGTTCAGTCACTTGTGTAATGAGATGATAAAATTGGCTATTTTCAGCAAATCATGTGTTTTCAAGACCGTAAAACGATAGAAAAAAAAAATATAAATCAATTCAAATATGATACGAGTTAAAGAACATAACTAAAAGTTTCTGAAAAGAAAAAAAATATTTTATTAAAATATTTTTTGACCTTCAAATTTTGCTATTAAAATACTGCAATAATTAAAAAATTTAAATCAAAAATTAATTGATAAAACGCATCATGAACTACTATTTATTGATGCAAATAATTGTAGTATTACAGAAAATATCTAAAATTTTTGTACATTTGTCATAAAACTTTTGTATTTTTAAATGAACATTTTTTATGCATGTAAAAGAATATACAATTGTACTACCAAAAAATAATAATAATAAGACATTTTTAAAAATCCAGCAATTATCCTAATGTAAAAAATGAAACGTATAATCATTTATGAGTTATGATTGGCTTGTTAATTAAGTCTAGTGTACAGTGTTGCGTATTTGTCCCCACGCTAAACATGTCAAATAAACAAAAAAGTTATTTTTAATTGATAAACCATGCCATTAAAAAGTATTGTTAGTTATGAAATAAGCATCCTGTAGTAACCATCTCAATAATGGTCGCATCTAGAGAAGTAGATCTAATATTCTTGCAATCTGTGGTAGATCAAACTGATCCTGGAGAAAAAATCATTAATTATGAAGTGAGTAAGAATAATATTTTCTATTGCAAGATCTTTTTATCTATGTAAAATTTATAATAAATTAGTTTTTAATTTTTTCAATGAATAAAATACGTAAAGTTTTCCTAAATTAAAATAAATTATTTAAATAAATTTTAAGACCAACTTTGGTACAAAAAGAGGAGATAATTACACATCAATGGTCTATCGAGTTTTACTACACGGAGAAAATGGATGGAAAAAATCTATGGTTTATAAATTATTGCCAAAAAGCGTTCAAGCTAGAGAAAATTTTAAATCTGAAATGTTATTTGATAATGAAATAAAATTTTACAAAGTAGCTTATACAGCTCTACAAGAATATCAGGTAAATCACGTTAATTTTTTGTGTGTGTGTTTTTATGGATATAGATTATTTTTTGAGTTCACAGGCTACTAAAAACATTAAAAACCCATTTGATAGCGTACCAAAATGCTATTTTGCAGAAAAAGATATAGTCATTTTAGAAGACATGCAGTGTAAAGGTTTTGTGATGATGGACAGACAAAAAGGTCTCGATTTTAATCATTGTCAGGCTATTCTTAGGTATGAGTAAAAAATAGTTTTATTAGGTTCATAATTAATAGGAAAGGATATGTATCAGATATATGAATGATATAAGAAGATTTTGGATAAAATAGGTTATTTGATTTCAAACAAAACAACAATAGTTTATACAATGTTATTTTATTTTAGCTTCAATGCGAAGCTGAGAAAGTATTAATTTTACTATGATGTGTTTTTTTTTTTGTGTCTGTCACTACTTTATTTCAGCTCTCACTGGACCAATTTCATTTAACGATACGTCAAAAGATCACAAATCGTATCTAGTTGAAGACGTTACCCTTAAAAATTGAAAAAAATGTCCCTCGTTCCCCGCAAATTTCTCTTGATCCCCATAGATGGGAGAAATCTCAAAAAAAATTACAAATTTAAAAATCGCTAATTTTTTAAATGTTTTCAAACTTTTTTAAAAATAACCAAATCAACCTATTATTTTTTATATATTTTTTTATAAATTTGACCCTTTACCTGCCTACATGGGGGAATTCAAAATGACAACTTTTTCAACTTAATTTTTGAAAGTGTTCCGAAAATATGACACTTTTATATATATTAAATGAATTTTAAGAAATTGGTAAATTATTTAAAAAGCTAAGAAACTCCTATTTCCTTCAAAATATCCTGATTAGTGGTTCTTTAATTTAAAAGTATAATATATGAATAAATACTTATTATATTAATTAAATTTAGTTTTAAATTGATATTCAATAATTTTATATTATAATTTATACAGAGAAATTATATAAATATTATATAATATTACAATAATAAAGTAGTTATATGTTCCTTTATTTTAAATGCGTATAAAATTTTTTCGTTACTTATAAATAAATACACTGGACCAAATGGAACTTTCATTAGAAACAAAAATATAATTTTCTAAATCAACTTTTCGCTCTCTTTTTATATCTGTAACTAGACTTTTTCTATCATAAATTTTATATGTATACCACAAATTGTAATTTTTAAATTTATATGCAGCCAGGAAATTTTATAATTACTATTTACAGTAAATTTATCAAAAAATCTCAATATATTTTTGCACTTTTATCGTTATAGATCACTTAAATAGAAATCATAGTGATCATTTCTAAGTAATTTTTGGTGTTTAAAACGATTCTACAATTGAAAAATACAGGGTGGCCCACCACTCACTGACAACTTAAATAACTTTTGATCCAGTTAATATTTTTAGTTGATTTTTTTTTTAAATAATAGTTATACGTTAGGTCTATAGCTATATATCAATAATTAATTTTTTTACATTTTATTAAAAATATTAATTATTTTTAAATTTTAAATAAAATGTAAAAAAAAAATTTAAGATAGCTATTTTGTAGAGTAGAATTTAAGAAAAATTTTAGTAAAAAAATATCTTATTAATATTCAGTAGTAAATATTCTGTAGCGTTTTGAAGTTTGTGAAAATTTGAATTTTCATGTACTATTTTACGGTATTAAACATTGAAATACGTATTGAGAAAAGGACAGAAGAAAACGCTATCTTTTCAATATACTTTTGAATGAGAGTGATAAGTAATAATTGCCTTATCTAATTTCTTATCATGGTATTAATGCCAAGTTTGTAATGTATACACACTATCATCATATGTATACACAGTAATCATGAAAAGATAGCGTTTTCTTCTGTCCTTTTCTCAATACGTATTTCAATGTTTAATACCGTAAAATAGTACATGAAAATTCAAATTTTCACAAACTTCAAAACGCTACAGAATATTTACTACTGAATATTAATAAGATATTTTTTTACTAAAATTTTTCTTAAATTCTTACTCTACAAAATAGCTATCTTAATTTTTTTTTTACATTTTATTTAAAATTTAAAAATAATTAATATTTTTAATAAAATGTAAAAAAATTAATTATTGAGATATAGCTATAGACCTAACGTATAACTATTATTTAAAAAAAAAATCAACTAAAAATATTAACTGGATCAAAAGTTATTTAAGTTGTCAGTGAGTGGTGGGCCACCCTGTATACAGAACTAAAATTAATTTTAATGATATACCAAAAACAGCAAACAAAAAATTGTTAAAAATATCTACTTCATTGAGCGTATTATAAAATTTTATTATAATTGTAAAAATCTATTGTTAAATTCAGGTATAACTAAAAATAATTTTTTTTTTAAATAATTTGTATAACAACATGCGTTACCAAAAAAGGTCAATAAGTCCAGAGGTTAAATTTTTTTTTTCAAATTAAGTATAATACATAAACATCAATTTAAGGTGTATATAAAAGTGTCAGTATTTCCGGAACATTAAGAAAAGTTAAGTTAAAAAAGGTACCATTTTGAAACCTCCCCTATAGGTAGGTAAAGAGTCAAATATTTACAAAATATAACAAATGATAGGTAAATACATAAGGTATCTATAAAAAAAATTTATATTGATTTGTTAATTTTTTAAAAAGGATATGACAGTTTTAAGAAAAAAAAACGCATCACAGAGGAGTCGCGGTACAGTGGGGACGTGGCATAGTTGGACCCAGTATAGATGATATCTGACAGTGATTAAAATCACTATCATAAAAAATACTTCGAAAAAATGCAAATTTGTAGATAGTGTTTAATTTTAAAAAATTGGTGGATTATTCCAAAAGCTACATGATCTACTATTTCCTTATATATATCCTGATTAAGATAAAGTATGTCGAATGAAAAAGGGATATAATAATTATTTCTCATAAAAAAATTGTATTGATCATACATTTTTCAAAAAGTTATAGCATAATTAAGTTAAAAATGTAAAATATAAAATCGAGAATTTTAACACAAAAATAGCATATGGTAGTGGTCCGATTTCAAAAAAAAAAATATGTCGCATAAAAGAAGAATATAAATGGTACTTATCTTAAAAAAATTATAATGATCCATACATTTTTCAAAAAGTTATAGCATTATAAGGTTAAAAATATTTTGAATTTTGAATTCATCCTGTGACCGGGTAAAGGGTCAGATTTATAACGAAAAATATTTCAAATGATAGGTAGACATCATGTATCTATAAAAAAAAAAATTATTTTGATTTGATCTTTTTTAAAAAAGTTATGGCTGTTTTAAGTAAAAAAAATTGAAAAAATTTCGAAAATTAGCGATTTTTAAATTTGTAATTTTTTTTGAGATTTCCCCTATATACGGCGAACGAGGGAAATTTTTTCAATTTTTTAGGGTAATGTCTTCGACTAGATTTGATTAGTGATCTTTTAATGTATTGTTAAAAGAAATTGGATCGATGAGAGCTGAAAAAAGTGATAACAGAATAAAAATAAATAAAAAAAAAAGCACATTATAGTAAAATTAATACCTTCTCAGCTTTGTATATAATACCAGCTAATACGATTTTTGTGAAAAAAATTTTTTTAATATTTTTATTTTTTAAAACTATAACTTTTTGAAAAATGTATGGATTATTACAATATTATTATTATTATATATATTTTGTCTCACATAAAAATTCCTTGTAAACCAGGGAGCAGTATTTATAAATAACAAACAATTTTAGCTTCGATGCGAAGCTGAGAAAGTATTGGTTTTACTATGATGTGTTTTTTTTGTGTCTGTTACAACTTTTTCTCAGCTCTCACCGAACCGATTTCTTTAAACAATATGTCAAAGATAACAAATCAAATCTAGTCGAAGACATTGACCTCAAAAATTGAAAAAAATTCCCTCGTTCCCCGTAAATGGAGGACATCTCCAAAAAAATCAATTTTCAAATCATTTAAAGTATTGTTTTTTGTTCCTTAAGTCATTTTTTAAGATTTATAAAGTGATCAACTTTTGAGCTTTAGTTATCATTATGGCCCGAACTTATAATTGCTAAAACACATTAAATATTGTCCTTAAAATCTTATAAAATTACTTTTTTAAAATTCTTTAAAACAAAAAATGGCACAACAAAGTTATTTTGATTTTTTATATACATTTATTTGATTTTGTATTAATAATTATAATATTAACAGTTCAAAAATCAGTATTTTAAATATAATATTTTTATTAGCTTCGATGCAAATCTGTAGATAGTGTTTCCTTTAGAGAAATTGGTGAAATATTTTAAAAGCAACATGAACTCTTATTTCTTTAATTATATCCTGATTAGTAGTTCTTTGATTTTAAAATATAATATATGAATAAATACTAATTATAGTTTTTAAATTTAGTATGAAATTGTGAGGCCAGCTATGATGTATGGTTAATAGTGTTGGGCGGTTGATAAGAAAGTAGAGCAGAGAATAAGTGTAGCAGAGATGAGAATGCTTAGTTGGATGAGTGGAGTGACTAGAGAAGATAGGATAAGGAACGAGCATATAAGAGGAAGTATAGGTGTTGCGTCAATCGTGGATAAAGATGACACAAATAGACTTAGATTGTTTAGTCATGTTATGAGGAGAGAAGAATCGGAAGCTGTAAGAACAGTTATAGAAATGAATGTTGAAGGAAGAAGAGATAGAGGAAGACCAAAAAAGAGATGGAGGGATGCTATTGAATGCGATTTGAGGACAGCTGATGTGAGCGTAGAAGATGTGGGAGATCGTGTCAAGTGGAATCTTAGGATAAGGGTGCCCGACCCCAAGTAGTTGGGATTAAGGCAAAGAAAAAGAAAAATATTACCAGATATTCCGGTGGCAATTGACATAATATGATTGTTATTTCGGAATGTACAATTTAGCGTTTAGTTGGGTTTAAATAATATAGCGTCAAATCAATTACCTACTCTATCGGTTGTATCTCAATATACACTACACTTTAATGATACAATAAATAAATAAACTCACACATACACACATATGCATTTATAACATTGTGTCTAATGTAAGTATAACATGATAAAAAGTAACCGTAAAATGAAAAAAATGGAATATAAATTTTAGTACTCATATTAAATGTAATGTAACTCGAAAAATATTTGTTTAAATGAAAAAATATAAGATAATTTTTTTGTTTATAATTGTCATTTAAACAACTTTTGTGCGACATTTTTTTTTGTAAGTCAAATATTTTTTGAGAAAATAAAAAATGCTCATATTTTTGAACTATTGTGAGGCTGTAAAAAAAAAAGCTCAATTCCAATCAATGAGGACTATTAGTATGTCATTATACATATTTTAATTCAACTTTTAAAAAAACAAAATTTTTTCCGCAATTTTTCCTTTGTTGACTGGCCTAGATGTCAATTTTAAACTTGTAATTGAGCTAAAAGTTATGGTAATATATTCAATTTATTTTACTATAAACTTTCATAAATCTTTATCAAAAATTTTTCATCAACTTTAAAGAACCAAAAAAATAGGTTAAAATTGAAAATTTGGACTGATTATTTTTAACATATTAAAAATCAAATCAGTAATAATTTGAAAACAAATTTTTTTTTCTTTTAATTATTATTTTATATATATAATTAGTAATAATATAAAAAATTAGAAGTGATAGAAATAGTCTACTTGCAGATTTGAAAACAACGCGAAAAGTTGATTTAGAAAAGTATATTTTTGTATCTGATGAAAGTTACTTGTAGTCAATGCATTTTTTTTATAGTAACAAACAGTTTTTATTGAAAATTATTGTATTAAGCCCTTTAAATTTTTATACACGTAAAAGTAAAGCAAAATATAACTTCTTTATTATTTTTATAATTTCTCCGTTTAAATTACAATANATGACAATTAAAAAAATTGTATCGTTAAGATCAATATGCAGTCAGAAAGTTTTATAATTACTATTTATTATAAATTTATCAGAAAAGCTCAATATTTTTTTGCATTTTTATGGTAATAGATAACTTAAATAGAAGTAATAGTAATAATTTCCTAGGAACTTTTGTTGTTTGTTGAAAAGATTCTATAATTGAAATATTGAGAACTTAATTAATTTTAATGATTTACTTTAACTAAATGTACCAATCAAAACAAAGTTGTTAAAAAGATTTACTCAATTGAGTGTATTATAAAATTTGATTATATTTGTAAAAATCAATTGTTAATTCAGGAGAAAAAACAATCATTTTTTTTAGAAATGATTTATATAGCAACATGTTACAAAAAAAAATTGTAATATTATAGTCTAGTAGTAGCACACACAAATAGAGTAAAAAAATTATTAAATTACAAAGTAAAATGATTTAATTTTGTAGTTGAAACCTATCATATCAAACTTCATTCGTTAATAAATATTTTGAAAACATTAGAAATTAATGATTTTAATTGTCTTTATGGAGACGATGTAATAAATAACTGTTTAATTGATAAATTAGAATTTTTTTTTCAATTTTTGAGGGTAATATCTTCAACTAGATACGAATTGTAGTCATTGGACGTATCGTTGAAAAAAGTAGGTCAAGTTAGAGCAGAGAAAATAAATGATATTCACAAAAAAACATCTTCTCGGCTTTGCATCGAAGCTAAAACTTAAAATATAGTAAAATAATTTTAATACGAATAAGAAATTTCTTCTTGCAAGGGGCGACTAAAGTGATGGGATCATTGATCTTTATTGAAGTTATTGAATCTAAATGAGTTAAAAATTCATACTAACTTAAAAAGAATTAAGAAAAAATGCAAAAAATTCATTGCCATACGAAGGTTGGAACCTCGTACCCCAAGCATGTAAAACATAAGTTTTACCAACTCGGCAACCGTATGTTGTTACCAAAACTTGAAAAATTGGCTATTTAAGCTAGTTCAAATTTCAAAGTTATTTTTCTCGACTTAAAAGAAGCAAACAAATTTAAATAAGTTTAACTATCTATACTATATCAATTTTAATTTATATAATATTTATGAAAATCTGTACTCCCCTTGTCAGGTATTTTAAAATAAAATAAAATACAAAACCCAGAATTTTAACACAAAAATAGCAAATTTTTGAATACGGTAGTCATTTTTACCATGAAGACAAATCCAGAGGTCAAATTTTTTTTTTTCACATTAAAGTATATTACATAAGCTTTAATTTAAGATATATTTAAAAGTGTCAGTATTTCCGGAATACTTTCAAAAATTAAATTGAAAATATCGTAGTAACAATACGCATGTTTAAAGTTTTGACCCCCCTTGTTAAAGGGGTATGATCCGATTTACAAAAAAAGCGTGCCAGATGAAAGGGGTATATCAATATTTATTATAAAAAAATAATAATATAGATCCATACATTTTTCCAAAAGTTATATAAAATATAAATTAAATAATATAACATAAAATCGAAAATTTTTTCACGGAAATCGTACACCCAAAGAAAAACCTCAATCAAAATTGAAAGAGAAATTTTATCAAGGGTTTATGATAATGTTTTATTAATACGAACAAAATAACTATTCTTATAAATAATTATTGTTCAAGACAAGAAAAAAAAATATCATATTGATAAATATATCATTGATTCAATAGTAATGATATATTTATCAAATTGAACAATGAATTTATTATATAGATCGAGGTTTTTCTCTGGGTGTAGGTTTTTCTTTAACTTTGATGTCCGTTTTCACCACGAAGACAAGTCCAGAGGTGAAATTTTTTTTTTTTCAAATTAAAGTATATTACATAAGCTTTAATTTAAGATATATATAAAAGTGTCAGTAAAAAAAAATAAAAAAATATCGAAAATTAGCGATTTTTAAATTTGTAATTTTTGGGGGGATTTCCCCCGTTTACAGGGAACGAGAGAAATTTTTTCAATTTTTGAGGGTAATGTCTTCAGCTAGATACGATTTGTGATCTTTTGACATATTTTTCATCAAAATCGGTTCAGTGAGAGCTGAGATTGAGCGTATACAGACACAAAAAAAAAAAAAAAAATACATCATAGTAAAATTAATACCTTCTCAGCTTCGCATCGAAGCTAAAAAACATTTTGTTGGGAGATATTGTTTAAACCACGTTATGTTTAATTTCAGTTGTTTTATGAAAATATTAAAACAATCATTTAAAATTAAAATGTTTATAACTGCGATTATATATTAATAATAACTTAACGGGGTGATTGCAGAATCTTGGGAAAATTTCACGGCCTTTCTCTATCAATGAAAGCAAATGAACCGGAAAAATTTAAAAATTGCGTTTCAGGAGTTGTAAACGAAGTTTACTATAAAAAAGATTATGAATTGTGGTATGGTGGATACTACAAGCATGCAGTTGAAAGTGCTAAAAAAATTGTCAGTGCAAGTAATTAGATTTTTTAAATTCGTTATTAAAATAATGGTCACTTATAGCTAGAGGCCGAATTGTCTGAATCGGAAAAATCTAAGTATATGATTGCGTTTAAAAGATTTGTTAACCACAAATCGTTTTTTGGACAAATGGCGGAATTAGTTTTGCCTAGAGGCTCATTAGATGTGCTTTGTCATGGTGATTGTTGGACGAATAATTTTCTTTTCCAATACACTCCTGACGGTAATATATCTGACGTAAGGAAATTATTGTAATAACTTAATCTTAAATTGTATTAGTTTTGTTTTTTATTGTTTTCTTTCAAAATTTAAGATTTCAATGATTGACTTTCAAATAGTAAGATACGGTTCTCCGGCTTTGGATTTAACTAGTTTGTTATATTGTTGTACTACTGTAGACTTACGACGAAAGCATTTAACAGAACTATTACAAGTATACATCGATTCGTTGACTAGCATTTTAAAACAAACGGATTGTTTAAATAGTTACCCTAATATACATCAGAAGTAAATTAAATGAAATTTAATAATTTTTATTTTACTTAATACATTTTATTATATTGTCAAGTCATGAAGCGTTACATGCAAAATATATTTAAAGTGTCTTCCTTTTAATTTTTTTAATGATTGAATTTAATGAAACTAACATATAAGGAATAGTATAATATATTGATTATATCTCATAAAATTGTATATCTAATATATACATAGACACACACACAAATATATTAATATTTATTAGAAAAAATCTTATGCCAAATCGGTTTTTATTTTATTATAGTAACGCAATAGTAATACATTCATTCTATATTTTTTACTTTTAAATAACTTAATTTCAATACTTATTTCATTTTCCGTAATAAGTACTAGCTTATACAACTAAAAATATACTGAATTAAGATGATTGAATATATTTAAATTTTAATTTTACCAATACTATTGTTTTCCTAGCTTATACGCAGAAATTCGTCAGTACAGTGGTTTTGGTTTAGGAGTAGCTATGGATATGATACCTATTATGACATGTGATTCAGATCAGGCTCCAGATATGTACAAGGAAGACACTAGTTGTGCAGGACCTAGTGTAGAAGCTAGTTATGTTAACACCTCCAACGACGTTTATCGGCAAATGATTGTTGAATTAGTCAAGGAGTTAGTTGATAATGGAAGTTTAAATTAATTAACAAGAAATATATATATATATATATTTTATTTTCGAATCCATTTTGATAGAGTATTGTTTCAATAGTTATGAATTAAAATCATCCCATTTTAAAAATAAATAAATACAAGTATTTTATGTTTAAACAATTCGTTTTTATTAAAGCAATTGTTTTTCCGTATTATTTGGTAGTTTTATAATTGTTATTTGATTAAATAATAAAAGAGACGTGATAAGAGACCAAAGTATACAGCAATATCGTAACTTAATGGTTGGATGGATGTAACAATTGTTGATAAGAGAACTAGTTATACACTAGTTAATAATTATAATTTTAACGCATGTCATTTTATTATTGGCGTTGGCACGAAATTTTATCCAGTAAATTAGAATTCTATAGTAAACTAAAGAAAAGTTTTTTTTTAAATTATCCTAATTTTTTGAAGGGGACGGCCTTTTCCTTTATGGGTGCCCTTGTATTTAACGCTGAATACAGAATTGCTTATATCAAATAGACAGTATATTAGACTTCCAAGTGGCTACGATTACATACATAGCCAAATGAAAGCCACGCTGAAGTATCTTAGTAGTCTAGCAATGGACATTAACTTTCTTTATATTATTGTACTACATCAGAATTGCGTAGAGAACACTAGGCAGAACTAATACATTAATATTGCAATCAGTAATCAATATTTTAGAATTAATCAATTGTTCACATTATTACCTCTATATTACTAAAAAAAGCGTTATTAACATTTATAACTTATAAATATCATAAAAATGCATGTAATTTGTGTTGTTCATGAATGTTTTTATTAAACATTCATTGTTTAAAGTAATAATAACAAATAAGATATTCTGAAATAAGATTCAAAATCAACATTGAAATTCTATATAGAATTTACGTTAATATTAAGTTAATATAAGTTAAATATAAGTTATACCAAAAACTGATTTATTACCAACAAAATTTTTTATTTTTTGAGATTAAAATACTATAATGCTTTCACGGCAATTATGCAATATAATAAATATCCACATTTACAATATTATTTAATTAAAAAACAAGTATAAATTAACTTTTAAGCCTATAAAATTTAAATTGTACATAATTCTATACTATTTGAACATTCTCAATTTAAGTAAAATATATTTTAACAAAAAAAATATTAAACAGATCAATTTTTAGTTATACAAAATCAGTACATAGTATATTTAAACATTTTTGATAAAAAATTTAATATAAAATTAACACAAATACACTTCATTTAGAAGTAATGGGCAGTGTAAAATGTTGAAATTTTTAACTATTAATTAATAGTACTAGCAAATATTTAACTTTTTCAATTCATTCAAACAAAAATTAATTATCTTTTTTTAAACTATGCAAAATCATGTTTCTTTATTAAACATATGTTTTTTTTTTTTAATATAAAAAGGTATTAATTTATTCAATCAAAATTAACAAATTTAAATAGCAAAACTTTTATATCAGGTTTATCATCTAAGGTAATACGAATTAAGTCTTTAAAGCTGTACAAATATAATTATTTTGATTCATAATCAGCAATATTATTATTGTTGTATAAACATTGTTACCAAAAAATAAATGTATGAACAAAATAAGATGAACAAATTATAACATTAAAATTTAGTTTATATAAATAATAATAATAACTATCATTATAATTATAAAAACTCGACTAGTTGGCACAAGCATTTGTCAAGATAGTTCATCATATACAGACTTTACTAACAAACCACTTCACAATACATATAAAATTTAAAAATATAGTAAAAAAATAGCTTAATACAGTAATAATAATAGTTGACTAACCAACAGAGATATTAAAACTAGGAGCTAACTGATGCATTATATTATCCATATATGTCTGTAGATTAAAAAAAAAAATGGAGTAACAAATCATTTTAACTTGGGTTAATGAGTACTTCCTTAATCACAGCAGTTAATGATTCACAGAATAGAGTTCAATTAGCCTGTGAAAAAAAACTTAATATTACAACATACTTAATTAAAATCATTACTTAATACACCATACTAAGAAAAAAGTATAGTATTTAAAAATTTTAACACTAACTATAATTATAACAAAAATGAAAACTTAGAATGTAAAATTTTTTAACTATAATTCACTTATGATAAAAATAAATACTTGAAAAATAACTCAATCAATTACTTTATTTAAAGTGATACATTTATCATAAACCACTCAATTACTCACAAAATGAATAAAATAATGAAGTAATTTTGTATTTTTAGTTTCATACATTTCACGACTTATCTGTTATTAATTACACTATAAATTCTTCCCTCATACCTTATAAGGGTGACTACTTTAATTTTTCAAATGGTAACATACCAATTAACTAGCTTATGAAATAGGAAAAGATCTGATTAAGAAAATAATAATAAAGGTAGATAACAAGTATTGGGCCAGTATTTCTTAAGTTATGGCAATTATAAAATATACAGAGAGAGGTGCGTGGGTATGACTATTATAATAATTAAATATTTCTTGGCTTTACCCCTCTTGCCCACGTATAAAAATGATATAACTTCCGAAGTATTAGTCCAAAAGTTATTATCGGTCTATAATTTTCCTAATTACGTAATTTCCTATTGTATAAGCTGGTTAAATATGTATGTTTCCATTTAAAAATCGAAGTTGATAAATTTTTAAAAGGAAAGAAGGGAGATAGGAAAAACTTTTTATTGAAAATTGTAAAATTTAGGATACTATTAACTTCCAGAAAGAAAAAAGAATTATATAATATTTTATATTTTTATAGATATTGCGCGAGTCTAGTTAAATACAAAATTTCATGAATGTTTTAACACATTCATATCATTCTGTATGTACACAAAATTAAACGTAACACATAATTATTACTACTATAACCATAGGTCAAAATTGGTAAAATTATAAGTTGGTTTAAAACTTCAAACTTTTTTTTTTTTGGTGTCAATTTATCAATTGACGCCCCAAAAAGTTATAAGAGATAATGTTAAAATGTAATTAACAGCTGATAAATCTAGAAATATATATTGTATTTATTTTACAAGACATTACGATCTACAAATGGTAATTCGTTTATCATGAATCATTCGTTCATTACCAGTAGAATATGGATTACCAGAAGAAGTGTTGTAAAAAAAAACCTTTATATAGAGTTAAAATAAAATTAATTACGTTGAAATAATTAAAAAATATAAACAAATTAAGAAGTATTTATTATTTTAGTATTATCGTAATTATTACATTTGATTTTTAGTAGTGCAAAACATAATAGATATTGTAAATAGATTATTATAAGTAATATTTGCAAAACACAATAGGTCACCTAGTATATTGGATTTTTATAATTACCTCAATGATAGCTTCATAACCGCCTTTGGACTGCATTTGCCCGTGAATAGCATTCAACCTAGACGAACCCATTTCCACATCAGACGATCCAATATGACCGGTATGTCGGAAATTCGTGGGTGCGCCAATCATCGATCGGTCAATTCGTACTCGTCTAACGTGGCTTTTTCCCTAAAAAAATATAATAAACAACATCAGATACGTCACTAGGAGGTGTTATGATGGCCTGCGGTCTCAGCATGAATTTGCTCTGGACCAAGGCTGGCCCCCCAATTAAAGTATGATTATTTTTACCAAGTATTACTAAAAAGCAAATATGTATGGAATTAAATTAATGTGATAACTCCTAGGTACACCAATTATTATCATGATTTTATTTTAATTATTATAATCCTAAAAAAATTATCTGAAAAATTATATAGAGTTTACTAATGAACATATAAATATCCAATTACGAACTATATTCAACATTTAAACCTATAACGGAGCTATCTTATAATATATTATAATAAAGACAACACTTGAAAGTTAAACGGACCGATCAAACTATTTAAAGTGGAGGTTTTTTTAAAAAAATGAAGCGTATAAACTATCATTTTAATATTACTGGTGATTTCAAAATATCACACCAGTCTCATTCTAAAAACATAAATTCTATCTCATCCAGTACTTGCTTATTATAACTAAAAATTACTATTTAGAATATCAAATAGTTATATTATATAAATATTGAAATGAACAATTTAATAAATCCAATCGATTTATTTTGAAAAATACAAATTTGTCTTTAATGAAATGTATAAACTATCTATTATAAAAATAACATTACCTGTTATCTAGAAGAATTGTTAAAAAACAAATTTAAAACATTAGTGTCAAATTTTATTTGTTAATTATGTTTAATATTATTACATTATTTTTATTTAGGTTTATTTACAAATGAACATTTCAGCACGTGTATTAAGATATACAAGGCGATTCAAGGCGATATATAACGCTAACCACTGGATTTCTCTTAAAATTATAATGGAGTTCAGAAAATTATTTTTGATATTTTTTAGTTTCTTATATTTTTCGAGTTATCAATTATTAATTACTTTTTTTAATTATCTCTTATATGTAATTATACATATTTAACTAGGGTTTAAATTAACACTAAAACTGTTATAAGGAATAAATGAATAACAAATAAATCAAGAAATATATGAAACTAAAACATACTAAAAATAATTTTCCGACCTTAAATATTATTTTAAGAAAAATCAAGTAGTTAGCACTAAAATAATAACACTGTATATACGTATAGTACATGAATAATAAAAAAAAAAGTTAAAAAATATCAAATGTGTGGTATTTTTGGCTTCTTTTTTTCAATTTTCATCATACAAAATCTTATTAAAAAAAAACTGTCAAGAGCAAAAAAAAAGTTACCTAAATGTTATTATTGGTACTTTCTTATCCGTGAAAAAACATTTTTTGTACCCCCCATTATAAATTTCTAAATACGCTCTTGCATAGGTAAGTGAAGTTTCTTATAGAATATGATTGAAGGTCTCAACATTTTAGACCTCCTTCACAATCATTTTTTAGCTATGTCCCTGAACAAGATTAATTTTGATACAAGCACGTTGAACCCATTAAGATTTAAATCAACTGTCGATCATGTGAAGACACGATTGAAAATATGTATTAGATTAAATTTTTGATATTTCATGTCTAATTAAAATCCATTGAAAAGATTTAATAAAATTATACTTTTCTTGCATTATTTTATTAAAAACTTACATACTATTACATACTATAGTTATGTAAAATAAATCATAATATCGAATATTTTTTATGCTGTAAACTAATGGCATATTTAATAGTTCCTACGGTACTAGTAAACTTATCCTACACAACTAGATAACTATTCGTAAAAATAGAAATGTTTTATAATAATGGCATAATAACAGTATTATATTTAACCTAATAATAATAAGTCACAAGTAGAAAACCTACATTTGAATACATTTCCTACATTATTCACCGGATTAACTAGAATGAACAATTATTTGTTTATGAATTATTAGACTCTTCGAATTGTAATTTTACGTCTCCATACAAAAAGTTCAAGGTTCTGTCAAATCTTGAAATTTTTTATTCTACCTACACTGAAAATATAATAGGACAATGAATATATTTTTTTTTTGAAAACGTACACTATAAGATTCTTGTATAAAAGTTTAATAAATGAAATATTTTTCTCACAACGTGTTGCAATATTAAGTTTACATTATTTATTTGAATTTACCGAATATAAATAATTTTTAGTGTCAAATAAATGGTAATAGTATTAAAAAATGTTTGTATATTTTTTAGTAGTAGTAATACTTAATACAAGTTAAAAAATTAATAATTTTTTTTGAATGACATATGCTAATTACATAATAACTTAACAAGACAATTAAAATTAACACTAATTTCCTTTAGAATAAAAATATATTTTATGATAAAAGTCTGTACTATGAAATATACTTTAAGGCATGTCAATTGAGATTCTCTAAAAATTCGACCTTCCAGCTTAAGTGGCAAACATAGGTGGACATCAGTAAAATAAGTAACGCTAAAAATTAAAGAAATGCAATGATTCAAAAATTCTATTCAAATATATTTTTAGCCCCTTTTTAAAAATGTTCAACAATTACGCATCAAGGATTGAAAATTTACCAAATGATATGAAAAGTGCTTGCGTAGACACTTAAGGCTAGAACTAATTTAAGAACAAAGTGACATTTATGTACATTGTAATCATTGCAAGTAAATTCAATTGATTCCTAATATATTATGCTAACAAATAGAAGTGTTCAACGTACAAATGTTTAATTAATCAGAAAAAAAAGGTTTAGTTAATATTTAGGTAATATTTGGGAAATTAATCAAAGCATCACTTTATTTTAATAACATGAAATACATTTTAATTTAATTTCTTATGTACTATGTTTAACATGTAAAAAATGTTTTCTATGATATTCGTTTACAGAATTAACCAAAGGGTATCAGTGTTATAAAAAAAAAAAATGATATCCTACTCATAAATTATGTCTATTATAAAATAGATTAATTATCGATTGTAAATTATATTGTATACTAATCATCGGTTATATGTAAATAAACGTTCTATTAAATAGCCGTAGGTTATGAATAGCGATTAATAATTAAAACATTGCAAATTACAGTACATTATACACTTTCGAACAATATAGAGTGGGAAAAAACTAGTACAAAAAAGGCGTAGATCTAATATTTTGTTGATATACAGATACTTAAATTCTACTGATATAAAAATCCAATTACTTACTTGTTGGGTTCGTTGATTTACGCAGCATGAGAACCATTGAAATAGAATTTCACCAGGCATATTTCCCGACCTGTAACCAGCTGACATGATGTCGGTTAATCTGTTTCGACTAGTCCTCCCGTGTTACTGTAAAACAGGAAATAATTTTATTAGTCACTTAAACAATACAACAAATAATCCGACACAATGATATTTTTCAATATTTAGCTGGAAAAATACCATTCTTAAACATGCAAATCTTTCGATACTTGGTCATATTTATAAATACACACTACTAAGATATGGTCGCACATTATAACTTACAAATACACTTAATAGAAATTAAATCAAAAGTGTAAAAATGACAACATTCTACTAATAGTTTCATTTTTTTTATTATACGGATGATTTATTTATCGTTGATTTCTCCTAAAAATATAATGTTGAATTTTCTTTTGTTTATAAGTATTTATTTCTCGATTATTGAGTGGTTAAATATGTTTTAGGTCTATGGTTTAGCCCTTATAGAGGGTCCCATTTAAAAAATAGAAAATTACTAGTGGATAACAATTTTTAAACCAGTATTTCGGAAGTTATAAACATTTTCGAATTTAAACTGATTGTGAGGTATGGTGTGTTTTATTTATTATGATGCATCACTTTGCCACGTTACTCCTCCCACGTAGGTATAAAAATATTCATAACTCCCGAACTACTGGTTGAAAAGTTGTTATAGACGAGTAATTTTCTTTGTTGGATCATTGGAACTTGTTAAATATGCATGTCACAATTAAAAAAATAAAGTTTGTACTCGTATAGACCTAAAACTATTAACCACTCAAAAATCGACAAATAGATACCACTAAAAAAGGAAAAAAATTTTTTTTTTGAAATTATTATTTTGGGAAAAATCTAGTGGTCAATAATGATAAATCAATCAAGCTGTATGACAAGAGGAGTCAATCAAGCTAATATCAAACACGAAAATTGGCGTTCTTTAGATTTTTTAGCTGTTAATAAATAAAATTTCACAGTGCAGTGGCTTCGAGTTAAAAGCTACATTTTGCAATTCGCAGCTATACAATACGTAGACGTATATATTTAAATGCACACGGGCACATCATATACGTTTACGGACGACAATACAGATTTTATAACCAACGACATCGAGTAGAAGGGAACCATCTTTTTACTAGTCGTGTACACCGTACGGTAATATGTAAGTATTAGTGTACGTACAGAGAGAATAGTATGGTTGTTGAACCTCACGACTTCAATGACAATGGCAGGAACTTCTTCTAGGAGAATCGAGGGAAGGATTGCGCGCCTATAGTAACATTATTATATACCCGAGCACTCTCAAGCCTAACTATAATACGATATACGGGACTGTGTAACGGGACTAACAGGTCGTGGTTGAACAAGGTGTTGTGCTTTAATGTACTATTATCATTATTTAAACGAGCAAATAGATGACTACGCTGTTATTGTGAAGCAGAGAATAGCAAAAAACGAGAGCTTCCACGGGGTTGCATTAGATACTTATAAAATAAAAAACCAGAACTTTTATGCATATTAAGATTAAATTACAAGTATGTTTATTATTTACATACGTACGAGAACTTGCTATGATTTAATCGAAATATAGTGAAAGCAATCATAAATCTAGACAAATAAGAAGTATATTTTTTTCAATCTAATTAATGAATGTTTTGTTTTCGTATAGGTAAAATACTGTCGTATGACATCAAACTAGAAGAAACCTATCTAAGATTGTAGCCGAATTGCGTGGGTACAGCGATGGTTGAGTTGACGAGGTAAAAGTATTTTGGTAAACACCGATTTGTGAATCGATGAGTCATAGAGTAAAAAAAATGCAAACCAGTCGAGAGTTGCAATTTTTAAGTACTCTATTGTCAGTGAAGGGTCAAGGAAGATTTTTATTTGAAAGGTACACTCCAGAAATCTTTTACTTTTTACATCGTGGTGCCATTTATTAGCATAAGTAGCGACAGTTTTTTTAACAATAACAATACTTTCATTTCGTGCAAACCAATAAATAACGACTATATAAAAACAAGGTTTAAGCATTAATCTTATAAGTGCATTAAAACCCGAATTATTTCTGGTAGACTCAAATATAATTTCAATGAATAATAAAATTAGTTAAGTTGTTTAACCTTTCAATTATTTAGCATTTTTTGATAAAAATACTTAGAAATAGTATTTGGTCAGAGTAGGCTAATACACTTGATCAATCAGTGTATGATTTGATACTTTTAATAAACAATTATATAATTTATATAAGTCGATTCAAACAAATACAGTTAAGTCAGAATTATATAAGATCACGGAAAAATTCTTATTGCTTATGTGACTAAAGAGCACATGTTCGCTGTCACTATAAAACGTTCACAAAAATAATTAGATATCAATATATTTTGTTCGCTCTAGTGATGACACAGATACATAAAAACAAACCAAAATAATTGATTTCACCTCATAAAAAACTATTATAAAATTATTTTATAATTTGTAGAATATATTGATCATTTTACGCATTCTTTATATTTGATTTTTGTCTTATGGCAACTGGAGAAAGTTTCATATAACATTTATATAAATAAATATTTTATTTTCTTCATTACTAGGATGGTTATTACAGCTTTAGATAATATTTTATTATAAATGATAGAACTATCAAGTATGAATGTTTAAATTATGACAGTAGCTATAATTATATTAGATCACAATTGCCAACAGAAAAACAGTTTTATATAAAACACCAACTTAAAAAATGTACCTACATTCTTATTAGTAAAGCATTATTAATCAATAAAAATAAAATTTGCAATACTATTGATACACAAAGATTACTGTAGACTGAATGTATAATACATAGTATATGTTATAATATAACATATACTAGGCATTACAGTGCATTGGCATATAAGTACCAGACAATGATGTCATAATCAAAATAGTAGTTTCTTTAATAATATTTGAGTACAAAGTAATTTTTGTTTCAGTGAGAACTCGTGTTACATTATAAACGTTATAAAACGTGTCTATTGAAATTACAAGAACAATGTATATGAATAAACCCCGTATTATACCCTTGACATGATTTTCAAATATTATAATAAGAATTAATCATTTGTGGCTAATATTATTTAAAATTAAAAATATATTTATATTTATATAACTTAATTTACAAAGGAGTTGTTATAAATTTTTGATATGATGTTACAATTTACTTTCCATTGTAGAGCCTAAGTTAAAAAAATCAATGTCTAAACTTGAACGTCATGAAAAAAGCTTTTAAAATTGGTCACACTGGTAATTAGTATTAGTTGTTGATAATGCATCCAACCAGAAATGGAGCTGTTGCCTATTCAAATATTTTCAAGCCCTTCACTTCGTTTTTCGTCATTCAATTGGGTTTAACCTGAACTATTAACTGTATTGTTTTGTCACATTTTCTTTTTATTTGACAGACTCACTGCGCCATTTTTGCGCATATTTAACATATAACTGTATCTTTTGCAATATTTACTCGCACATTATAATTCACAGCCAGTACCTACATTGCTCTTGGAATATTATTTATTTATTATAAAAATTTAATATAATCGTATTTAATCTCGTCGTTCGCTCAATTGTATTCTTAGTATTGAAAATTTAAACTATTATTTGTACATCAAATTGATTATTACTTAACAGTTATATTCATAAGTTACACTTTAATTGAATAAAAACTGACTGCTTGGTTCATTTTATGGATAAAATTTACGACTTTAAGTTATCGATTATTTCTTATTTCATGCTAATTTATTGACTAGCTCTTTGTACACTCAGGATTATAAAAAGGATCTTATAACCCTTTTGAATTATTAAATAACATTGCACAATAAAAAATCAAAAATTTTTTGTACCAGATAATATAATTCCGAATCTGGTCTTAGAATTTTCAGATAAATTAAAAATTTAAAAAAAAATCGCTAATTAGTAAAAATAAAGGAATTACGTAATAAATTGTTCATTAAAAATAATTGCTGTTAACAATAAAACAAATATTAATAGCTCAAAAATTTGATATTAATATTATATTTAAATACATTTTAAAATAAATATGTTGCACAACCTATATAATTTTTAACTCTGAAAAATACAGTTCAATAAGATTTCGAGTATCATTACTTGTTAAGTCATAGAGGAGTACAACCCAATTAATACTTAAAATACAATAGTTTTTTCTCATTCATTGATACATGACTCATTTGAAATTGTATTAATTGATCAAGTTAAGAGAAAATATATAATTATTTTGTTGAAGCGAAAGTTAAATTTTAAAGAACTTAATTTTTTATCAATACTAAAAAAAGTTATAACAGAAGTGTTTTACTTGTAAATTAATAATTAAAATTATATCGTAAGTGATAAAAATAATCAATTGTATAAATAAAGATCAAAGATGTAAACATTCTCAGAACGTTTAAGCGAGACAAAACAAATGGACAATTAAATGGTATTTTCTATTTATAAATGTTGAATTGTAATTTGGTGCCGTGTTTTTCAATAATAAACCAATGTATGGCTAAAACTGTTCACTGATAACTAACACAACGCATAGTAACGATGATAGTTCGAAAATACGGGTATCATTTCTATGAAAAATTAAACGACCCTACTTCATTATTATTATTTGGACTTAGCTAGTAGTACAAATACAATCGAATCTCAACAAGTGAACGTGTTCAAAATACTTAATAAGAATTGTAAAATAACCTTTATATTAAAAAATATATAATGAAACTTGACGCGGTAAAAAAAAAAATGAAATTCAATAACATAAGGTTACTATTAAATTTAGATTTATGATGATTTTTGCTTACATTACAAACTGTGTTAATAACTAAACATTCTCATCTTTCGCTTAAGAATATTACACTGTACTCTATTGCTTCGTAAATGATCATCAGAATATACATTCTTGCAGAGTAAGTTGAATATAAGTAATCGTGAATTACGACTTAACGGGTCCTAAACCCGAAAAGTGTATGGGATAATAGTCTTCACAGACATTGCTACTTTTCTAATACGCAAGAAGCAAAAATTATGACGCGAGTTTAGTTAAGCGAATAACG